TTCCCTGGTGGAACAAGCCCAGTGCTCGACACAAAGGACCTTGCAGGTTCTGTCTCGCCGACCTGGTCACAAACGGCAGTAATTGCCAGCCGCAGCACACAGAAAACACACCAAGCTTGTCCTTTGCTGCAGGCAACGTCCCGCTGCAAACACCAGCAGATTTAGGCAGGTGTCCCAACTGTGGCTTTTCTCATTCTCAAAGAGCTGAAGGATAGAGAGTGCCACTAGCATGTCCTGTCTGCTCTCCAGCCCTAGAGATCTGGAACTGCATTCTAGATATTTCTGTGTGGAACCTGACCAACCTGTTGGATGGCCTCAACAAATATTGCTAAGCAAATAAATGAAAGAACTATGGTTCATCCAGTGGTCATGACCTTGGAGTCAAAGGTAGCTTGCTCAAGAGACTGCGTGAACCTGCCCAAGGTTCTCACACGGGTTGCTCGGTTGCTGGCAGATTATCTGCAGAGGGCTTCCTGGGTGTGGACAGCATGGGGAACTAGTTCTGCTCAGGGGGACCCCAAAGCCAAAAAATACAGAGAGACAGGAGACGGTGTGACTGGGGCTAGATTTAGACCATACCTCGAGAGACAGCCTCCTTGGGGAGGTGACACTTTCTGTAGGGACCTGAGTGCCAAGAAAGAGGCAGCCATAAGTAGGTATAGGTACAAGGATGCCAGCCAGGGGGATTCAGCTGATGGAAAGGCCCTACTGGCTAAGGTTTTGGGAGCAGGAAGATAGGACAGTGGAAAGCAGATGGCACTGGGGCTGGTGACAGGCCTGAGGATGGAGGTCATGTTTACCCAAAGCCCAGCCAAGTTTGCCTTGCTTGAGACCCAGGTCATCCTACATGGGTGTGTGGGGTGAGACGTCCCCAGAAGCCCTTGCTGTGAAGGGAGTGGCACTGTGCTCCTTGTTGGTCCTCCTGGGGGAGCAGGACCCCTGTCCTGCTAAGGGATTCAGGGACAGAGCCCAGGTCCCATGTGAGGCAAAAAGTCTAAAGCTGAGGGAGGTTGGGTGGGTGGAGCATGTCTGCAGGTGTCTGTGGATCTAGGGTGGGGGCTGGTCTACATCTGTCACTTATCAGTACTTTGAGACAAGTCCGTGGGGGCATCTAAGCCACCGTGTGAAGGGCCAGAGTCACATGGGACAGAGCCATTCCCTTTGGGTTCCATCCCTGAGTACATTAAGAGCAATCAAGGTCCACTTGCTGTGCATTAAGTGCGGCTCCCACGGCCTCCTCTGCGGTAGGCAAGTGCCCTGCCACTGAGCCATGCCTGAATTCAGCCCCTAGTGACACAGGGCAGGGGATTGGGCTGGGGGCTCAGCACGCACAGCAGACCAGAATGTGACCATGCTGCTTGTTGCCAGGTGGCATCCCAGCTACCTATCGTAGGGCTGGCAGAGTGGCCCAAGTGGTACAGTGCCTACCTATCAAGCATAAGGCCCTGAGTTCAAACTATGAGAAAAAAAAACCCAGCTACCTGTCCGCTCTCCTGTGGTCAGCAGGCATTTGTGGTCACGGATGCTGACTTAGCTTTCTTTTCACTATTGTGATACACAACTTCCTCCTCAAAAAACAGAAAAAAAAAAAGTTTGGTCTTGTTTTCTTTGGCTAGCAGCTTATAAGGCTTCCTTTGGAAATAAAATTATTTTAGTACAATGAACATCAAATCATCCTGCGGCTAGGAGAGGGGAATAGCAAAGACCACAGAGCAGTCCCCAAGGCCTGACACTCAGGGAACATGGGTTCAAGGGACATGCAGGCCCCTCCCCATTTCCTGATACACTCTCTCCACTGCAGCATAGGAAGGTGAGGAAAGGGGCCGAGGGTCTGCACCGTCAGGGATGGCTGGCTTTTCTGTTCCCCCACAGGGATCTAGTTTTCAGCTGAGTTGAGCGTGCATGACTCATCATTCGGGTTAGTTTCCAGTGACATTGTGACAGCAAGGGGCAGTTCTCATAACTACTTTCTTTTTTCTTTCGGTACTGGGGCTTGAACTCAGGGCCTTGCACTTGCTAGGCAGGTGCTCCACCAATTAAGCCATACCTTCAGCCCTGTTGTTTTTTGAGGCAGGGTTTCACTGTGTAGCCCAGGCTGGCCTCAAACTTGCAATCCTCCTGCCTCAGTCTCCTGCATGCTGGGATTATAGGTGTATGCCACGAGCTGTGAAACGTACATGCTATGATAAGGATACAGGCCACAACATTTATTTACTTGGCTTTGGGGAGCAAACCCAGGTCCTGTGCTCTACCACAGAGCTATACCCCCAACCCTTGGCCACAGCATCAAGTCCAGACTTAATTTTTTCAATTTTTTTATTTCATTATTTTTGGTTTTTGAAGCAGGGTCTCACAGTGTAGCACAGTCTGGCCTTGAACTTGAGATCCTCCTGCCTCATCCTCCCAAGTGCTGGGATTACAGACATGCACCACCATGCCCAGCTTAGTCAAGACTTTTAAGTCAAGCTTTCAATCATGGGTTTTATTTACATGCCACCTTGTTGCAAAAAGGTATTGTGAAAACTTACAAAAAATAGATAAAATACAATAGAATAAAAATAAAATAAAGAGATAAAGGTAACAGTATAAGTAGAAAGCTGGGATGAAGCAAGTCTAGTAGAGTCAGAACAACTGGTTGAAAATGATCTCAAATTTGACTTTGAGCTTCTCAGCTGCCAAAATCAAGAAGAAAACATGACTGTGACATGATACCTACTAACACTTGAGTTTGGGGCTTTGATTTAAAAACAGATCTGAGTCAAATCTTGACTCATTAGCTACTGGCCTGAGCAGGTTATTGCTTAACCTCTCTGAACTTGAGGTTCATCTCCTGTAATGGGAGAAAATGTCAGCCTGGGAGGTCCTGGTATGTTAGTGATAGGCACGTCAAGGTGTCTCCTGGCTCTAGGAAGGTGCTGTTCCAGACCTCTGCAGTCCTCTGTCCTCACTAAGCCACACATCCTCAGCTGTATGAGGAGCTGACATCCCCAACACAAGGGAGAAGGAAGTTGCCCAAGTAAGCTGCATGGACAGGGTGGAACCAGAGTTCAAACCCGCTCCCTAACTCACTCCCATCTCTGACAGCCATTGCAGTCCCCTTTTCACCGACCAAAAGATGCTCTGAAACACGCAGACTTGCGGGGACCCTCAAATCGTTTCCAGGAAAGTCCCTGGATCTCACCCTTAGTCACGTCCCCAAGGCAGAGGCTTCCTTCTTTCCTCCTGGAGAAAGCAGGCTCAATTTAAGACCCGAGGGCTGGGGATGGAGCTCAGTAGCAGACCACTTGCCCTGGGTTCCATCCCCAGCACTTCCTTCCAGCTCCCCCCCCAAATGTAAGGCCTGGAAATCTCTAGGGAGGACTCAAAGATGGAAGCCAAGGCCCCTGTATGTATCAGGCTGTTCAGAAACAGAAAGATGGCTTCCTTTGTCTTCACAGCCAAGGTTGGGAAGACACGCTGGCCTTCCCCAGTCTAGGCCTGTTCGAAGCACCTGTTGCCAAATGTAATAAAGTCCAAAGTAGATGTTTTAAAAAAAATAAAACTTTCCTTTGGAGCTTGTAAGTTTACAGAGCTGGTACAGCAAAAACCCTTCCCTGCATCCCATCTCCGACAGCACAAGACCCAATTTTAATCCCCTCTTAGAATTTCCTGTTCTAGAAAGTTAAAATGGTGTGTGGGGGGGACTGTGGGATAAGAGTAAATCCCTCATTCTGTACAACATATGCTAATAAAAATCATTTTTAAAATGTTAAAAGAATTTTTTTTTCTATGTTAATTCCTGTTCTTTGTTTCAGACACTCATTGACTTGGCATTCAATGCTGTTTAAGCTGGTCACAATCCCATCTTGGGGCACCTATCCTGGCTACACAGAGCAATGATTTTTTTTTTTTTTGGCAGTAGTGGGATTTGAACTCAGGGCCTCATGCTTGCTAGGCAGGTGCTCTACAACTTGAGCCACCAGCCCCTGGCTACACAGAATAGGAGCTTCTGGAGCTGCCCCTACAGTGGCATGCAGTTGGCAAAGAACATTCTTTGATCATCCCTGAAACCCTAATACTGTCACAGACTGAGCTGCTGTGTGACCTGGTAAGTCTGCTCACCTCATCATCCTGATCTGTCAAACGGGCACATTTGGAGTACTTACCCTCCATTGTATGGAGAAAAAGGACATGCATGTGGTTCTCAGCTAGGGATGATAGTTCTGGTACCTGCTTTGAAACCTGGCTCTTCCCTTAACTGCTATGTGACAAGTGACATTACTTCTCAGGTTCCACTGTGACTGTCTGTAAATGAAGAATACAGGCACAAAGGCCTGAAACAGAGGAGCCTAGAGCACCTGGGCTACAACCAGCATTGCTCCCTAGGAAACAGTGCTGTGTGTCCTTGCATTTTTCAAACCCAGCCCATTCTAACTTTGGGTTGTCTCAGACTGATGCAGAGAGGGGGGCCTGAGCACTTCTCACATGGTTGGGCTGTGACATCACAAGACACACAGTCTTGTAAAACCCACACCCATGGTCAAGGGAAAGGCCTGGGCCTCGCAGCCCCTGAGGCTGGAAGTGGAGCCCGAGGCGGTCTGTTGGGTGGGGAAGGCTGGGTGTGTCTGCCACTATGAGTCAAATCTGGCTTGGTAGGGTATCATCGCCCCTTTATTTCAGAGGGGAGTTACAGCTTAAGCAAAACATTACCTGACGATGCCTGGAAGAAGTGAAGTCTGCATATATGGTGTTTCCCTACCCTCTTGGCTGTGTGACTGAATTTCTTAAAAGCACAACTGGGTGCTCATATATACAGATACCCTGGGAGCAGGCGCTGGGACACGAGAAAGGGGGCAGCTCCAGGGGCTGGTAGGGGTCAGCAGTGGTCACCGGTCAAAGGTGCTGAGTGGCTTGGGTCAGGGAGTCCATTGCTGCTTGCAAGTTGGGAGAATAAAGGGTGCAGACGAAGCCTTTTTGGAAGGAGTTTAGTGTGTCCTGCTCCCCATGGAACTCTTCGCCTGCCTGTACCATCTCAGTTGCTGAGAAGCAGATGACAGTGATGGAGATCAGGCTTAATCTGAGTGAGGGCAGAAGGGAGGAGCTGGGGAATACCGCCAGAGTTTTCTCTTGGGTGTGGTTTCTGCTCAGTGGCTAGGTGACGGTGGAGGTCTGGAATGTGGCCGGACGATGGGGGTGGGAGGGTAGGAGGGCTGTCCAAAGGCAAGAAGCAGGGATCTTGGCCAAGAGGCCCCAATCCCAGCACCACCAGTAGCTCAGCTAGAACAGGGCCTAGGGTGGCAGAACCAGTGTACTGGCCTCTTGAACTTTGAGGAGCCCTAGGAAGGGAATGGCTGGAGAGGGCTACAGGTGGGGGAGCTTGGGTTACTGTGAGAACACAGCCTGCCTGATCCCAACTGGGACACTGCCTCATGGGGCCTCTGTGGCCTCATCTGTTAAATGGGCTTCAAGATCTCTCTCTCCAAGGGAGGCTTGGGAGGATGAAAAGGGTAAATGCAGGAAGAGCCGCCAGTGGAAGCAAGTATCACCTGCCAGGTGCTAAGGAAGTGCTACCTTGACGCCCACCAAGAACACCCCATTAAATATGTGCAGATGGTGGGATGCAGGAGTTGCGGTGAGGAGCTCTTCCCCACCCTGGTGAGCCAAGGTCCCAGCTTAGACCACAAAGTGGAGGGCGTAGGTGAGCTGGTGGCCATTGTCCCAGGCGTAGAGCACACGCTCCTTGGGGTTGTAGTCAATCTGCGTGGTGTAGGCGTGCTCATTGTGGAAGGGCAGCTGGGGGCGAGCGTCGGTGCCCGTGTGTGTGTCGAAGGCATAGGCCACCTGGCCTTCGTGCTGGTTGTACGTGTCCACAGCATACAGGATGCCGCACACCAGGAAGCAGTTCCCGTAGGAATTCCGCTGCAGCCGTGTCTTCCACGTGGTCTCCCGGTGCACAGAGAGGTCGCCCGGGTCCAGGCGGCTCAGCACGATCACCTCGGACTGGGCCTCATCACGGTCATCCAGGGTGGGGTAGATGACCCATAGGCCGCTCTCGTCCACAGCAAAGTCAATGTCGGAGTGGCCACGCCACTTCCAGGGCGTGGTGTCCTCGTAGACCACGTCTGGCAGCATCGCCCAGGAGGCCACAAAGCGCTGACGCAGGTCGTATTTGATGATGTTCTTGGTGAAGGCGCGGTTGTAGTAGAACGCGCCCTGGTACACCACGTGGCCCGTGCCGATCCAGTTGTAGGGCAGCTTGTACATGTTACTCCAGCGGCCTGCAAGCGAGGGCAGATGGTCACACCAGAGTCTCCTGGACAACCCCAGCCCACCAGCCAGCACGTGGTACCCGGAGTGTACTGTGTGGCTAGAACTGGCCCATCTTATTCCATCACAGAGGTGCCATGAAAGTGGTGCCAATAAGCCTGTTCCTGCCAGGGAACAGGCTCAGAAGGCTCCATGACACAGCTAGGAATTGAGGTCCAGAGTGACACAGCCAGGTGCTGTGTCTCAGGGCCTTTGCACATGCTCTTCACCTGGACTGCCATTCCTCATCCAATCTGCTTAGGGAATGCCTGCCTGTTTTTCAGAACCCTCAGTCACTGTGACCTCCTCCACGAAGCCTTCCCTGACCTCCCTGGGCTGAGCTGAAGGGCTTCTCCTCTAGCCTCCCATAACTCTTTGTCTTGGCAAATGGTTATCACCAGCTCCCTCCACCTGCCTGTGAGCTGCTGGAGGCAGACAGACTAGGACAATTTTGCACTGCAGAGGAAGGATGTTAGCTGTTCGAGGCCATTCTCTGTGACTCCCTGGCTCGCTTGTGGCTCACAAGGCCTGCCCCAGTCTACTCTTATCACCCTGGTCCAGTGTCACCATGCTTCTCCTCACTCCAGTCCTTTGCACATGCCGAGCCTTTGGCCTGGAACCCCCTGCCCTCTCTCTGCAGCCTGGCTTCCTCCTGCTCTTCCTCCAGGGCTCAGCTCAGCATCACTGCCCCTGGGAAGTCTTCCCTGGGCTCCAGGCTGGCGCTGCAGAGACTTAGCTGAGTCCCCCAGTGCTGTACCCCTAATGCTGGTCTCCGTAAACCTTTACCTCCCACTCCAGACTGGGCATTTCTGGAGGGCAGGCCACATCTCATGATCCCCTTCCCCATCATGCCCCAGATCTTGTAAACAGAATTCTGCCCTTCCTGGTGCTAAGAGCCCCGCTGTGGGCCCTGCCCAGACCTGCAGCTCCTCTAAGACCTGTTTTCACCAGGAAAACAGGTGATAACCCCTACGTCATGGGCTTATGAAGATACCGTGAGATAGCTTACACACAGGGCAATTAGCACACAGCAAACACTTGAATGAGAATTCAGGACTGTCTCCCAGGCTGCCCCACTCTGCTCCCTTCCCATCTCCGGGGTCCCCGACCTTGCTTGAAGCTCTCCAGGTTACGGAACTCCACCAGGCTGTTTCCATAATAGTAGTTGGTGACGTAGATCCTGTCATCCCGAGCTGCAGGGTCCTTCATCCAGGCGCCCTCGTGGCGCCCATAGCTGTGATGTCTCACGGGGGGGTCCACAGCCCGGAGGGTGCCCTCACAGCTGGCCTCCCTGCCTGTGGGGAGCAAGGGAGTGTGACACAGGTACATAGACTCCCTAAGCCAGAGCAACGGCCCTGGGAAGGTGGCCAGGGTCTAACTTAAAGTCCTTCTAATGGCTTGTTGGTGACCCTCTCCCCCTTTTTCCATGATCAGAGCGGTATCATATCATTGTTGGAAACATGGGACATTCAGAAAAGGAGAACGGAGAAGATGAATATTCAAATTTCCATCATCTGTTGTATGTGGGATCCAAAAAAGTCAAACTTAGAGATGCAGAAAATAGAATGGTGGCGGCAGTTGGTTAGGGGGCTGGGAGAGGCGGTCAAAGGTCACAGGAGGAGCAAGTTCTCTGTTTTGGGCACTAGAACACTGCTCAGAGAGTAGCTTTTCATATCGGAAGTACTGGGGTTTGAACTCTGGGCATCACACTTGTTAGGCAAGCGCTCTCCCACTTGGGCCACTCTACCAGTCCTTTTGAGATAGGGTCTCACCAACTGTTTGCCTGGGCTGGCCTTGAACCGGGATCCTCCTGATCTTTGCCTCCCGAGTAGCTAGGATTATAGGTGTGAGCCACCTGTACCCGGCTCAGAGAATAGCTTTTAACTGTTATCACCACAACAAATGTGAGGTAATTTATATGATAATTAGCCTGATTCAGCCATTCCACATGTACACCTACAGCAAAATATCACATTGTATGCCATAAATGTATAATTTTATATGTCCATTAAAATTTTTAAAACCCTGGGCTGGTGGAGTGGCTCAAGTGGTAAAAGTGCCTGCCTAGCAAGTATGAGACTCTGAGTTCAAACCCCAGTGCCACACCCCCCAAAAATTAAAATCCTAAAAATAAATAAATAAAATCCTAACAAAAAATTCCATTATCAAAGAAAAATTTGAAGCATGTAGTTCCTTCCTTTTCTTTCTTTGCATGTAGTCATACTTTAAAAAACTGCAGTTCTTTGGATATGGTTGTATGTTTCCTGTTTTCTCCTTCCACTGAGCAACTTCTCACATCATTAAATAGCCTTTTAATGATGTGATTTCTGGGTCCTGCCAGGCCACCAGACAGCTGTGCCCCTTAATTTATTTAATACCTCTCCCTGTCAGTTCTTCAGCCTATTCCAGTTTTCTGACATCAGAAATAGTGCTTAAGCTGCAGCTGAAGCCTGTGGGAAAGATGTGTATAAGTGGAATGCCCTCAGACACAGGCAGGCTTGTTATCACAGATGGCCAAGAACCTTCCAGAAGGACAGATGAATGATTTACGAAGGAAGATTTCTATCATGTGACATAAGTCAAAAACTACAAATGTGGACATAAAAATGGTCAGAGAAGGCTGGGGGTGTAGCTCAGAGGTAGAACACTTGCCTGGCTTGCTTGAGTCCCTGGGTTCAATTCCCAGCCCTGCCAAACAAAACAGCCAAAAATTAGACAGACGAAATAAAGAAATGAAAATAGCTGCTGGGTGGGATTGCAGGTCACATTTTCTTAGCCAGGTGCTGGTGGCTCATGCCTGTAATACTAGCTATTTAGGAGGAAGAGATCAGGAGGATCGTGGTTTGAAGCCAGACCTGGGCAAACAGTTCGAGAGACCCTATCTCGAAAAAAAATCACAAAAAATGACTGGTGTAGGCCCTGAGTTCAAGCCCCAGTACTGAAAAAAAAGGTGTAGGTCCTCAGTTCAAACCCCAGAACCACAAAAAAAAAAAAAAAAAAAAAATTTCTTGAAAATACACCTGTTTTCCAACCCTTGAAATGTTGGCAAAGTTTTTGTATAAAGGAACAGAACAGGGTGGGGGATATAGCACAGATGATGTAGGGGACAGGACACAGAGTAAATATCTTAGGTTTTGTAGGCTACAAGCCTTCTGTCCTAGAGCAAGGTCCTGAGTTCAAATCCCAGTACCGCCAAAATAAAAAAAAATTCAAACTTCTGTCCTATATTCTCTTCTTTCTTCTTTCCTAAGGACACTTTAAAAATGTAAAAGCCATTCTTAGCTTGAGGACTGAACAAATAGGCCATGAGCTGGATTTGGCCATGGGCTACCCCTAGGAGGCTTACTCACCTTGACTGGAGACTTCTGGACTCATAGGTAGCTTGGTGGACTGGGGACTGATGGGCCAGGGACTGGTGGTGGGAGCTGGGGTGGTGGTGGGAGCTGGGGTGGTGGTGGCAGGGTCCGAGGAAGAGATGCCAGGAGCCAAGTCTGAGGCCTTGGGCCTAGTTTCTTCCTGCTCAGCAGAGTTGGCCTCCAGGGGCCTGTCCTCCACTTTGGGGGGCAGCTGCTCCAGCCAGAAAGTGCCCTTGAGGGCATTGTCTGTGGAAAGAAGACCCTGTACTCACATTCACATCCAAATGGTGCTGTTGCCCAGGTGTTCAGGCCTCCCCACTCCTCGAGGGAGGGCAAGTCCTCAAGTGGAAAACCAGCTTTTTATTGATTAAGATGGAGTCTTGCTAACTGTTTGCCTGGGTTGGCCTTGAACTGAGATCCTCCCCATTTCTGCTTCCTGAGTAGAACTTCTCCTCCCAAGTAGCTGGGATCACAGGCATGAGCCACTGTGCCTGGCTTGAGTTACAGACTTTCTCCAGCTCCCCTCCCTGGAACCCAGCCTCACCCAGTGTCTGTTACCTCAGGCATGGAGAGGGATAAAGCCAGTAATTGTCACCTCTGGACCCCAGTTATCCAGCCCTTTCTGTTCTCTCACTCAGCTCCTATACCCATCTCTCAAGCTGTGCTGGCACCTCCCCTCTCCCACCCCTGCTGGCAGGGGCTTTGCTGACAAGAGGGCTTTTTCAGCTAGCTTCTGGGCCACGTCTGGATCACCCCTAACTCCAACTTCCCTAGGCCTTAGATGGATGTGAGGCAGGCTAGGTTAGGGACACTCTGGGACGGCTCCCCCTCTTGGATCAAGGGTTCCTTCCCCTAGCCCACAGGTGAGAGGAGCCAGGTGACGAAGTACTGTCTCCCCACCTCCAAGTTCAAGGTGGTATAAAAATGACTTACGAAGAGACCCTGGCCCTTCTTCTTCTTCCCTACCCTCCTCACCTGGCAGAACAGGTGACTCCCCTTCCCTTGATAAAGCTACTCTACGTCACCCATCCACGTGCTCTGCTTGGATTCGTCCATTTGGGGCACAAGGACCAAGATCTTCTGAGAACGACTGTTGGTAACAGATGGGGCCTGGGTAGGTGAGACAGGAAGATTCAATGCTACATGGCCAGAGGACATAGGCCCCTTAGCTCCAGGGACGACAGCTGACCTATCCAGTACTACTTTACTACCAACTCGCTGTGAAATTTGAAGCCAGTCACTCCACCTCTCTGAACTTGTTTCCTAGCCTACACAAGGCAGTTGCTGTTAGAATCAACAGTGACTGTATTTGAGAAAATGCCACAAAACTGACGCCAGGGACAAAGGAATGGTGCTACGATTACCGTGACAGCCCCCAGGGACTGCCTAGTCAGCTGGGGAGGGCCACAGAGACCCCTTGACTTGAAGACAATGACCTGACTTTCTTCCTTCTTGTTGGGCTTCCTCTTTGCCCTGCTGTGGGGCAGCCCCCCTACTCCCTTTCTGATCCTGGGCCCCAGTGGGGACAAGTGCAGTCTCTTTGGTCAGGAGGAGCCACAGGGGGCCTGGCCTCGGCAGTCTGCCAGGGCAGGGACCTTGTTCCCATGAGCCTTGCTGGCAGAGTCAGATGCCCACAGCTGTGCTGGGCAGTGGCCCAAGCCGGGGGTCAGAGGCCCTGTGCAATGGCCAGGCTGAGCTAGCAGGGCTCAAGGACAGCAGCTGGCATCAGGGGCTGGGGGAAGAGGCTCCTGCACCCTGAGGGGCCAAGAAACAAAGGAGCTTTTTTTTCTTACTGTGCTGGGGATCAAACCTTGCACATGCGAGGCAAGTGTTCTACCACTGCGCTACACCCCCAGCTCTTTTTTTTTTCGAGACAGGGTCTTGATTTATAGGCCAGGCTGGCCTTGAACTTGAGATCCTCCTGCCTCAGCCTCCTGAGTGCTGGATTTACAGGAGGGTGCCAACACACCTGGCATGAGAGAATTCTTAAGACAGACTGGACCCTACCTGCTCTGCCTCCCTGGCCCCCTTGCAAATGGTCCCACAGAGGGCATCACTGCAGAAGTAGGAGAGTCTCTGGGCTCTTTGTTGGAGATATAAGAAGTAAAGGTGCCAGAGAGACCAGTGTGGAAATGAGAAGGCCCCAAAGGTCCTATGTCACTTCCCAGAAGTCCCGTGTTCTCTTGCCTCCACCTGGGACAGATGCTTGGTCACAGAGATGGTTTTCCCAGGGACGTGGACTGTGTCTGCATCATTCCCTGTCACCTGGCATACAGCAGACTTTCAGCAAATCTTCACATGAACAAAGAAAAGTCCAGTGACGGAGAAGACAGCTTAAAGTCCCAGAAAGAAACTGAGTGACCCTTTGTGGTGGTTCTACCTGTTCACTCCAAAACCTCTGGGATGACGGAATTGTCACCCCAGCATGTAGCTGAGCAAAGGGCACCAAAGGTAACCAATGCGTGGAGCTGAGCTCCGGAGCTGTCTGACTGCAAAGATAGCCCTGTCTCCAAGCAAGGCCCACTCCTCAAGTCCCCATTTCCCTCCAACTCACCAGCCATGGCCTCAGTTGCATCTTGCCTGGCCTCCTGCCTGCCTGCCTTGTAGTAGGTGAAGCCCCGGATGACAGCCTGCTGCTGGGCCAGGGCCCGGGGCTTGGCTGTGGGCTGGGGGAATCTGCCCTTGCCAGTCTCCTTCCTTAGCTTCTCCACCTTCAGCAGCTTCTCCTTAGGCGGTTTTGGGAGGCCCCTGTCTGCAAAGCTCTTCTGCACGCCGCCGTATTTGTCAGCATTCTTGCCCTTCCCTCCAGCTGTGTCCTGGGAGAGAAGGAGGGTGTCTTAGACTTGGGGGGGGTGTAGAAAAGAGGATGTTGTGGAGAGCATGGAAAGCCAGCATGTGGGGGCCGGGGGTGGTCATGCTGCTCCAAGCCCTGCCTCCCAGGCACTCAGGAAGTCTCAGCCTTCCTTGCCCTCCCACAGAGGCTAGATCCATAGCTGGTTTGCTTCAGTTTCCCCACTCAGTTCCTCTAGCTTCTTTGTGGCTCCAGACCAACATGGCAGGTTCCTGTCCCATTTTCCAAATCCTGTCCACCTATCTCCTCTTTGGGCGGGAGACAGGAAAGCTGGGTGGGCTCCTGGGGGAGGCAGTCTCACCTGCCTGGTGGGCTTCCCAGCCTAGCCTCTCTCACTCATCAGTCTTAGTGTGTGGGCAGGAGTGACCTCCTTATCCCAGATTGCCCAGAACTCTCCCAGTGTTAGCACTGAAAGCCTGGCATTCTGGGAAACCCTTCAGTCCCACGGTTGGTCACCCCACTCCTTGGACGTGCTGGGTCTAATGTTTGTGAGTTCTGTTACTTTCATTGCCTAGTCAAATGCCTCTCTCTGATTCTTGCTTGGCACAAGAACATAGGGCCTGTGGTGTCACCCATTGTTAAGCAGAAGCTCCAGCAGATATGGCACACAGTATCTGATGCCTTCTGGGCCACTGCCAAAACGGGATCACTCGCGCCTGCAGAACTGGCACGAGAACGAGTGTGTAGTCTGCTCCGGGCCAAGGCACAAACTTCCTCTGCATTTTATCACATGTGGGCGGCTCCACCTGCAGTCATTGTCACAATGTCAGCACAGGGCAGAGAGCTGGGAGGAAGGGCTGGGGCTCTGCCTTTATGAAGTGTGGCTTCCAGTCCCAGCTCAGCTGTCCTTTCTCCATGTGACTTCTTTCCATCCTTCCCAAACGGGCAGGAATCAGCCCTCCTCGCAAGTGGTCATGGGATTAACTGATAAAGTCTGTGAGGAAGTCAGGTTTACAGGAGGGACCCCACCTTTCAGCTCCCTTCTTTGGCCACTCAGCAAAAAGCAAGGTGACTGGGCTGTGTCCTGTCCTTGGGTGATTGGCCAGAGGAGCACCGATAGGGTTGGAACACCTGTCTGCACTCCTTTTGCCAAGTCACACACCCTGGTGTGCACATTTTGTCTATCCAAGGTGGCTCCTCATGCTAACCTAGCTGCCCAGTGGGAGGGCCATTCTTGCAGTTTGCCTTCCGTGGGTATGTCTCTCAAGTCTCGTGAAGATACATTACCTGTTGTGGATGGCTTTGCTCACTTTGCGACCTGAGCTTGGGGCTGGAACATCTGGGCATTTGCTGCACAGACTCCCCACACAGGCAGGGATGGATGAGCTGGTATTAATCTGCAGGCCAACACCCCCCCCCACCACCCCAAGGCATTGCTCGCCTACCCCCTGAGCAGGCGCCCAGCCACAGCAGGGGAGGCTCAAAGCAGTTCTGCAGGAGAGCCAGGTGGAGAGGCTCATCTTCACAGCCTCCTCCCACGAGTCTGGAACCTTGGGAATATGAATACTGCCCAACATCCAGTTCAGGGCCAGCTCCCTTGGCTGAATTCTGCTCTAGCTCCCTGTGGTCACTGCCCCCAACCCTGCCTGCCGCGGACTCTCCTGCTGTCCTCAGCCCTGTCCTACAGCCCCAAACCCACACTACGCTGTGCCCCCAAATCTAGCCACCTTCTGGCCCTATGATCAGAGTTGGGGCCTCACCTGAGCCTTGCTGCCAGGACCCGTGGCTGGGGCAGTGGCAGTGGCGGCAGCAGCCTCCCTCTGCAGCAGCTGGAGGCTCAGGCTGGACAGCTCCTTCTTGATACTCATCATGATGGCCGAGTGGTTCTCGTAGCTCTTCAGCTGCTCACTGAGGTGGCGCATGCTGTTCTTTACCACCTCGTTCTCCCGGCTCAGGTTGGCCTTGATGCTCTGTGGGGCAGGATTCAAGGTCATTTCTTGGCCTGAACCCCCACCTGCAGGGCTACCCCGGCTCGGCCATCAGGCTTGGTACCCAGTCTCCTGAGCAGGGCTGCGGGTGTGGGTGGAACAAAGCATGTGCTATGAGATCCTGTAGATGAATTTTTTCATTTAACAAGCGAAGGAATAAAAATAGATGATATATGTGCGTGGTACTAATTTTTGCTTTTTTGAGACAAAGTCTTACTATGTAGCCCAGGTTGGCCTTAAATCTCAATCCTCTTCCTGAGCTTCCTGGGTGCTAAGATTAGAGGTATGTGTCACCATGTCTGGCTTCATGGTATTAAATTTAAAAGATACAAAAAATATATGGTCCAAAAAATGTATGTCCTTCTCAACTTTATTTCTCAGTGCTGATGAGTTGTTTCTTGCATATCCTCCTAAAGAGAGTCTGTGCCTCATAAGGACAGATGTGTCCAGAGTTACATCTTATGTTAAGAGCACAGACATACCTAGCAAGTGTGAGGCCCTGAGTTCAAAACCCAGTACCATAAAAAAAAAAAAAGACTTACATCTTTTTATTTTATTTTTTTTTTTTTTGCATTTCCTAGAATTTTTTTTCTTTTATTATTCATATGTGCATACAAGGCTTGGTTCATTTCTCCCCCCTGCCCCCACACCCTCCCTTACCACCCACTCCTCCCCCTCCCTCTCCCCCCCCTCAATACCCAGCAGAAACTATTTTGCCCTTATTTCTAATTTTGTGGTAGAGAGAGTATAAGCAATAATAGGAAGGAACAAGGGTTTTTGCTGGTTGAGATAAGGATAGCTATACAGGGCATTGACTCACATTGATTTCCTGTGCGTGGGTGTTACCTTCTAGGTTAATTCTTTTTGATCTAACCTTTTCTCTAGTTCCTGGTCCCCTTTTTCTGTTGGCCTCAGTTGCTTTAAGGTATCTGCTTTAGTTTCTCTGCGTTGAGGGCAACAAATGCTAGCTAGTTTTTTAGGTGTCTCACCTATCCTCACTCCTCCCTTGTGTGCTCTCGCTTTTATCATGTGCTCATAGTCCAATCCCCTTGTTGTGTTTGCCCTTGATCTAATGTCCACATATGAGGGAGAACATACAATTTTTGGTCTTTTGGGCCAGGCTAACCTCACTCAGAATGATGTTCTCCAATTCCATCCATTCACCAGAGAATGATAACATTTCGTTCTTCTTCGTGGCTGCATAAAATTCCATTGTGTATAGATACCACATTTTCTTAATCCATTCGTCAGTGCTGGGGCATCTTGGCTGTTTCCATAACTTGGCTATTGTGAATAGTGCCACAATAAACATGGATGTGCAGGTGCCTCTGGAGTAACAGTTTTTTGGGTATATCCCCAGGAGTGGTATTGCTGGATCAAATGGTAGATCGATGTCCAGCTTTTTAAGTAGCCTCCAAATTTTTTTCCAGAGTGGTTGTACTAGTCTACATTCCCACCAACAGGACTTACATCTTTTTAGCACTACTCTTTCACATACCAGCCTATTCTGGGAATTGTTTCAGATCTGTCTATATAGTGTTTTCTTGGCTCTTTTAATGGCACATCGTATGACACTGCGTGCGCAGGTCACAGTTTAGTTAGCTGGTCCCTTATGGATGGCTGAGTAAAGTCGCTTTGAATATTTTGCTATTCAAAAAAATAACGATTTTACAAGTAATACATAAATACACAATCATCTTTTTACAAAATTCTCCAAGGACGGAGATGGAGAGGAACTCCTCGTGGGGTTTTCTGTAAGTGTCTGGACCTGGACCGCTCTCCTGGGCCTGGGGCTCCTTCTGCAGCATACAGCAGAAGACCCCTTGCTGGGGTTCTGGGCTCCTGGGCTCCTGCCTAGCTTCGATAGTTCCCACCCCTTCTGCTGGATCTATCTCTGGTTCTGAATCCTGCTAGGAACAGACAGGCTGCTCAGAACCATGTTGTTTCTTGTTCTGTGAATCCCCCATTACCCCAGGATCCCCTTTGCTAGGCTGATGTCCAGGCTAGCCTTGTCCATGGCGCAGAACTCAGAAAACCTGGGTGGCCTGGCAGGTGTCAGTCCCCGATCCCCAAGGCTACAGCAGACCCAGGGTATGTGTGGGATTCCTGAGTCTGAAGGTACTTCTCAGCTAAAGCAGGAGAGACAGCGTGAAGCATTTCTTGCCGACGAGTACCCAAATCAGGAGTTCAGATTGCCACTCATAGAAACTGTTACAGAGAAGATAACCTCAATATGATTTATGTCCAGTCAACTTGGGAGACTTGGGTTCAAGTATCCAGAGACAGCAGGTGAGAGTCTGAAATACCTGGGTTCAAATTCTTGCTCTCCATTTCATGGCTGGGTAATCTTGAACTAGTGACTACCTCTCCAAGCCTCAGTTTCCTTGCCCATAAAATGGGAATCCTCATGACAACGGCAACTAAATTTTGGGGTTACCGTGAGGGCCAGAAAGGCTAAGGAATATGAAAGTGCACTTGAACCAAGGTCCCAGAGAAGGTGGAAGTCAAAGTGTGTATGGTAGACTCTCTAACCTTAGTACCATTGACATTGACCAGGTAGTTGACAGTTGCTGGGGACTGTCCTGTGCACTGTGGGGTATGTAGCAGCATCCACTTGTCCCCAGCCCAAGTCTCAACAACACAAGAAGTCTCTAGATATTGCCAGCTGGAGGGGGGTGTAAAATCACCCTGGTAGAAGACAGCTGAAGGAAACTGGGACCCCAAGTTGCTTCCTGACCCTCCCCTCACCGAGTGTTTTCCCTTTGGCAGAGGGACCTGACTCCTCCCTAGTGAGACTGTTTTCTTTGCCTCCTTCCAGGGTTAGCAAGAGCTCCCCCTCCATAAAGTTATCACGTAGTAAGCCATGCTTAGCAAAACCAAAGCACAGATAATGCAAAGCAGAAGATAATTAAACAATCGCTTTTCTGTGGCTGGGGAAACCAGATGTACCCTCCATGTCGTCTGGCTCAGTTACATGAAGCAAGTTAGCAATTCCTGAGATTAAGGGAGGAAAAGGTCAAAGGACAATGGTTTCAGAGCAACAGGAGCACTTGGCAGGCACAGGAAACACTGGTGCCCAGAAGAAATTCCACTACTGTCAGCTTCTCCCAGCTGGCATGGGCTTAGCCAGTAGGAGGTACCCAGCAATCATCAAAGTCACTGTGCCGCGAGCTTTGGGTTTCATTATGGGTTAATTTCCTACCCTAGGGCACAGGATGCCCCTTCCCTCTAAAGGAAGCTGGGAAAGGAAATCCCCACGCCTGCTCCTGGCAGCTGCAGGTCCCCAGACCCCCCAGCAGCTCAGTAGAGACCGGATGTAGGAAACGGGTGGAGGCCAAGCAGTGGCAGCAGAGGCAAGCCTTGAACTTGCAGCCCGAACTTCCAGGCTCACCCAACGGACCCAGATGGCAGTCCTGGCTGTCTGCCCAGCCCTACAGCACATTTAGCCTGACCAGGACAGGACATTTAGCACCTCTGCCTCCCCAAAGGTAGTACTGGGGCAGTAAGACTGTCCCGAGCCTGGCCTGTCCTGAGCAGTGTTGACCAGCCTTGCCGTAAAGTACCAACTCAGGGGCACCACTGCCATGGTATTTTCTATGAATGGTGCCCACCGAGTTCTATGGTTGTGAACTCTGATCCTGGTGCACTGAGGGCAACTGAATTCTAGCTCCTTATCTACCCCTTTCATAGAACCAGGTGCCTCAGTTTCTCCAGCCAGTCTTCCAGCTTCCTGCATGTCTTTGAGGCCTAGTGGGACCTCTTCCCCAAATGCTGGACCCTGAAGTGTGCACCTCCTTCCCCCGACTCCCTGCTGGAGTCCTGCTTCCAACAGCCCCCAGGGTTAAGCCAGAATGGGCCTGGTGTCTGAGGAGCCCCACCCTTACCTCCTCCAGTGTGTCCATCTGGGAGGCCACCTTGTGGACGTAGGCGTGCACTTTCATCAGGTCCATGCTGTACAGGGCGCCTTCCAGGAGATCCACCATGGACTGCAGCTGTTGGGGCACGTGGACAGTTAGGCCAGGACCACACGGTGCAAAGGGGCCCCACTGCAGTGCAGGACCCCAGAGCCCCAAAGCCTCAGGGTGGTCTGCTTGGACTCTCAGTGCTCACTAGCCCCAATCTGCTCCTACTCACTGGAAAAGCAGCAACTTCAATTTTTATTTATTTTTGCAGTCCTGGGGATGGAACCCAGGGCTGTGCACCTGCTACGCAAGTGCTCTGCCACTGAGCTACCCCCTAACCCAGATTTTATTTTCACACTAGGCACTGGGCTAGGGGCTGTAATAAGTTATATCACTTAGTCTTCATCGCAACACTAGGGGTGTGCAGTGGACACTGGGGGTTCTTCCACACCCCTGGGGATTCCTCTTTCAGTTTCCTGGGCCCACCCCTGATTTCTAGGTGCCTACCTTTAAAAGTAGGTAAAATTTGTTTTATTGTTATCATTGTATTCAGATGGCACAGTGTGACATTTCAACACGTGGGTATGCTGCACAGTGAACAAAGCAGGGAAACGGGCGCAGCATCGCCACAGACGTTTTTCAATTTCTTTGTCTTGAGGACATTCGACATCCTCTCATCCAGCGAATTTGTAATATACAATTAATTGCTGACAGCCATAGTCACAGAACATGAGAAGTTATCCCTCCTATCTTGCTAGCCTTCCTCTTTCCATCCTGTGTGCCTCCCTCTTAAGTTACTTCAAAAAAGCCACTTGGCCCCCAAAGTGCCAGGGCGCATGTATCCCCTCGGGGCAACCCTGAGGCATGACCTCCTGGCTAGGCTTCTGTAACCCCAGCTCTCTGGCCCCAGGGGAGGTGCCCTGAGCTGCCATTCCCCCCTCCAGAGTTCCCCTGGGAACAAGGCTTGCCCTTGGCCTGGGGCCACTTCCTTGCTGGGCACCCCCCCCCCCAGGCCCTGCTTCTCCTCCTTCTTTACAGTTTCTCTGGGAACCATCTCCTAACACAATTGCCTTCCAGGCCTCCTTCTAGTGACCCTAACCCAAGTATGGCCATTTTATGCTCATTTTACAGAACATCTCTGAGAGGTCAAGCAACTTGTCCAAGGCCACCAGTGTAGGGACAGGAGCAGAGAACAGGTCAGCATAAACCCAAACCCTTTCCTATCAAGCTTCACTGCTCTTGTCCTGAGTCACAAGGGGGGAACAGAGGCCAAGAGATGGGGAGAGGCTTGCATAACAGGACAATAGGCACGGCCTCTGCCTCCCCTCTCTGTGACACCTCATCAGGATATGACACTCCCTCCAGATAGCCAAGATGCCAGCGGGAATGTCAGGGACAGCTTGGCACGAGAGCTAGTTGGGAAAACAGCTTTCCCTGGCTTCTTGGGAAAGGAAGGTTCCCTGCCTGCCCTCCCACATGGCCCCATCGGCCCTGCCGTCTTTCTCAGAGCCTGTGGAAGCCAGGCTCCTGTCTGGCCCAGACGAGCTGTTTCCCAAAGTTTCCCAGGAGGATTCAAACTGTTTAAGACATAGAGCTTTTCTTCTGGGTAGAAGTTGAGCTCTAAAACAGATGAAGGGGATGGAAGACTCGACTGGAAGTAGGGACAGAACCCAGCCCTGAGGGATTCCACAGCACCCAGAGAGTTCTGTGCAGCACAATTTGAGAACCAAGCTTCAGTTTCCTTCTCTGTGAAATGGGACAATAGAGTTCTGGTAAGAAGTGGTGACATCTGTACAGAGCTCAGCACAGAGCAGGCACACAGCAAGAGTTTTTGAGTACCAGTGGCAATGGCTACTATTCCAGGGGTAAATGGGAAGCTCTCAGCTCCCCTCTGCTGCCTTCATGGACACCAAGGCTGGCTTTGACGAGGGTCTCTCCCCTGCTGGGTAACTTTCTGTGGCTCCCCACTGTCCTCACATGAATTTTCCATCTCTTGAGCCTCGCCCTCCATGACACACCCAGACCACCCTCTTTGGGCGTAGCAGATATTGCTCTGGGCCAGGCACTAAGGAAAGTCTGGGTCTTCATGGTGCTTCACAGCTCTCAAGGACACAAGCTAAACGCTGGGAAACAATTTGTCACAGGCCTCTGACTTTTCTGCATGTCTTAAAACAGAGGAACCGCCACCCCTCTCAGGGAACAGCCTTGGGGGACAGGAGGAACATTTTTCTCTCTGTCCCACACCCACTCTGTGGGGCGTTACCTGGCCCTCACTGCATCAACCCAAGCAACCCGGGGGTTTGGCAAACCAGTGCAGGAAGATGGAGATGCACTGTGAGTAATAAAATCCTTTGTGATGGGGAGACTGTCTCCCTCCAGCATCCATGAAAGCGTAACACTCATGGTAATGTAGCCCTTTCCTGGCTTGGGACACCAACCAGGCAAAATAACAGATATGTTTGGAAGAATTTATGGAAGAAAAAGATACTTTCAAAAAGATTCTATGCAATCTGGCTCTTTGCAAAAGGCTCTTTACTCTGTCCTTTACAGAAAGGACACAGAAGAGTGAGGTGGGAAGACCCATGCTTTGGACACGGCAGGACTTGGGTTCCAAGCCCAGCATCAACAGGCCCACGGAGAACCCAGCTGAGCATGGTACTGAATGGCACAGAAGCGCCTGGCTGGCTGTGGGGACTTAAACCTAGCCTGTCCATGCCTAATCAAGGCCATGGTCCTTGTGGTGGGTACCTGTCCACAGCTGTGCCCTCAGAAGTGGTATATTTCTTTTTAATCTGCTTTTTGGGTACTTTTTTTTTTGCAGTACTGGGGCGTGAACTCAGGGCCTCCACCTTGAGCCACTCCACCAGCCTTTTTTTGTGAAGAGTTTTTCAGAACAGGGTCTTGTGAACTATTTGCTCAGGATGGCTTCAAACCTCGATCCTCCTGATCTCTGCCTCCTGAGTAGCATGAGACACTGGAGCCCGACTGGGGTACACTTTTCTAATTTACACAAAAGTTGAGTATCTTCTAGTGGAAATGTTGAGACCAGAGCCTTTAAGATTTCAAAAACCTTCAGATTTTGGAATATTTACAAGTACATAATTAGATATCTTGGGAATGAGACTCAAGTCTAAACATGACATTCATTTAGGTTTCAATACTGCATCTTAGCCACATAGCTGACAATTTTACAGCTATTACTTTTATTATTTTAGCTCTTTCTTTTCTCTCTAGAAGTGTACAGCAATCGTACAACCTTTCCATACATGTAGAAATGAACTTTGGATCAAATTCACCCTTTTCCTTACCCTTCCCTTTCTAAACAATTTTAATGGGTTTCACTGTTCTATTTTTATACGTGTGTATAAAACGCTTTGACCATATTCACCCCCCATTCTATTTTTAATTTTTTTTGATTCATTGTTTGCAGGGCTTGGAATTGAACTCAGGGCCTTGCGCTACTAGGCAAAGTATAGTACCACTTAAGCCATGTCCCCCTTTTGATTTTTCAGTTTTCTTTTTCAGATAGGGTCTTGAGTTTCTGTCCAGTCTAGACTTGGACAGAAATCCTCCTATCTTTGCTTTCTGAGTAGCTGGGATTACAGCTATGCTGCACCACACTCAATTTTTTTTTGGTGGCACTGGGGTTTGTACTTAGAGCCTCACGCTTGCTAGGCAGGCGTTCTACCACTTGGGCCACACTGCCAGCCCTTTTTTTGTGTTGGGTATTTTAAGATAGGGTCAAACTTTTTGCCTGGGGTAGCCTCAAACCGCCATCCTCCTGATCTCTGCCTCCTGAGTAGCTAGGATTACAGCATGAACCACCTATGCCTGACCTATTTTTTTTTTTTTTTGAGACTGGGTTTCCTCTCAAAACTCACAATTTTCCTGTCTCAGCCTTCTGAGTGCTAGAATTATAGGTCTGTACCACTATACCCAGCCTTAAACGGTATTTTAAATAATTTTGTACATGAGACAGTTTTTCACTTGTGGTATCAAGTCATCACTCAAAAAGTTTTGGATTTGGGGTCATTTCGGATTTTCAGATTCGGTGCTCTCAACCTGTACAGACTCAAGGCTCCTGGCACAAGCTGTCTACCTTCTGGAAACTTCCAGCTTTCCAGTTTCTAAAACAAGGACAATGAGCCCATATTTCCCAGGATGGTTTAAGGGTTCAGAGAAGGAATGCACAGAAGGAAACAGCACAGTATGTGGACTGCAGAGACTGCTGAACACGGAAAATATTCTCATTAAAAATAACAAAGGGCCAGGGATGTCAGTCACACGTGGGTGCTGGAAGATGACACGGCTGGCGCAAAAATCCAGAACAGCAGAGTGGATGCCAAGGAATGCGGTGAGGTCAGCTGGCCGGTGCGTCTCAGTGTCCAGACCCATGCAATGGGATGGCACCTGCCACGTCACCAGGGCACCCCCCTCTCCCAGCCTGTCCCCCGGCCTACCTTGAGGAGCTCGGGCGCCTGCTTTTTGAGCTTCTCCATCTTCCACTCGTTCTCGCAGGGGTTGAGCGACGAGGGCGGCGCGGTGCAGGAGCAGCGGCAGTCGGCGCCCGAGGTCACCGTCTCCACCGTGTAGAAGTCCTCCACGCGCGCGCGCCCGCTGCGCACCCGGCTGCACGCGTCCCTGCTGAGCGGCCGCAGGATGCACTTGCAGTGGCAGTCCGAGCCCTCCGACGTCATCCGCACCTGGTCCAGGTCACCCAACACCTGTGGGCCAGGGGTGGGCCGGAGATGTCACCCGGTGAGTCCTCAGTAAGTGACTTACAGAGTCATAGGATCCAGGAATCCGATTTCGAAAACAGCTAATCCAAACCAAGATTTGTGTGTGAATGCTCAGAGCGCATTAGTTACTTTAGTCACAGGGTGGAAATGAACCACACATCCAGCAACCGCATACACAAAATGTGAAATATTACTCAACCATCAAAAAGAGTGCAGTAGTATCCCGGTGCCAAATCCTAGCTACTTGGGAAGCTGAGATTGGGAGGATTGTGCTTCAGGGCCAGTCTGGGAAAATAGTTCCTGAGATCCCCATCTCCAAAATAACCAGGGCAAAAAGGAGTGGAGGTGTGGCTTGGGTGGTTCAAGCCGCAGAGTGCCTGCTTTGCAAGCGCAAAGCCCGCAGTTCAAACCCTAGTCCCACCAAAAAAAAAAGAAAGTTCTGAAGCTAGATAGTGGTGATGGTTGTGCGACATGTGAATGCACCAAATGCCACTAGTTTGAAATGGTAGGGCAACATCTCAAAATAACAAAAACCCAAAACACAAAGTAATATTTTTAGGTTGTTTATCTTTCACAGGGCATACACAACGTGGAGACCTTTAATTGAGCACTCACCACAATTTAGGTTCCACGTGAGTTATGCATTTCTGTAATGCCTTGCAGGGGTTGGGGTACTGTTGCCCCAAGGTCCTTACCATGGCCTAAGGCCTATGGAGGCTGACACTCTCTACACCTGCCCTCCCCTTTTGATGGCTTACTCCACACCAGCCTCAGGCCCTTTGCATATGCAAGGCTTTCATCCTAAAACTCTTGATCCCTTGACACTCCGCGGTTCATGTCATCATATCACTTAGTTCTCTGCTCACACATCACCTCCTTCAAGTCTAATTCCCTCCAGAACACACCTACCTGTCCTTTAGTAAGTGCTCTGGAAATAACAAGTCTGCATTTTGTAGACATGCTAGGGCCCAGGGTCCAGAGCCTGGCACCTCAGGAAGTCACTCTCCTGTGCTTTTTGTTTCCACAGCTTTTCTGTACCTGGAATGGGTTCCTGCCTCATGGGTTGTTGCAAAGATTGAGTGGATAAAGAACAGGGCCCAGCCCTTACTGTTTCCTACCTGTGAGCTGTCATTAAAGAGCACCTCAGAGAGGTGAGGTCACCTGGTCAAGGTCACAGAGCTTGGGCACAGATCTGTTTCCAGAAGGCAGTCACTGCTCTTTTTAAAGAGGTAACTGGCGACAGTTCAGCCTTGAACTTGCGAGGTGAGCACTCCGCCACCTGAGCCACATCCCCAGTCCTTTGGCTTTTAGTTTGCCTTTTAGATAGGGGCTCTCTTTAGCTCAGGCTGGCCTCAAATTTGATCCTCCCACCTCCCCCCTGCCCCAGTAACTGATTTTACAGGTGTGAGATACCATACCTGGTCCACAATCACTGCTCTATATTACTTCTCTTACAGACTGTTTTTCCCAGTCCCTGTGTGACCTTCAACAGGTTATACAACCTCTCTGAGCCTTGTTCCCTCAGTGGTAAAATGCATGACTCTCCATACCCAGTCTCTTCAGAGTAAGGATCAAATGGCACAATATGACACAGACTAGTGGTTCCCCCCCCCCCCGGCCTCCTTTAACCTCATCCCAGGACGTCATACCTGGCGTCCAGGCACTGGCACTGGTTACTGGCACTGGGGCAACAGGGCTCTGTGCTGGTGTCAGCCTGGTCAGATGAGTGGCAGAGGCCAGGCTCAGTCATGTCCTCCAGACTGCTTCTCCCTGACATGCTTGCTGGGCCCTGGAAACCCCAACCAGTCTGTCCTCCAGCTGGTCATCGCCACCCTGACCTGGGCTCTCAAGACACAGGTATTCAGGGCTCAAACACACACACACACACACACCACAGGCCTCTGGGGCACTCACTTTTCACAGACGCCATCAGGACTCAGGTGAGCTCATGTCTCCCTTGGGCTTTCTAGGCAGGTGCTCTATCACTTGAGCTACAACCTAGCCTTCCCTTGGGTTTTCTGCCAAGGAGTGGAGGGAGATGTGACTGCCTGGGGCCCTTGGGGAGAAGCCTGAGGACTTTGTTTCTACTCTAGGCCCTCGGACACCTGTTGAAGCCCCTAGTTCCTGCCACACCCTGGCTGACAGCTGGAGTGCAGAAGAAATAGATCCAGGCACATTCTTGACTTCCTCAGCCACAGAGAAGCCACAGTGAGCACTGAGGGCACAGATACCCAGGAAGACCACAGGAACAGAGCCTGTGAACATGTGCAAGAGGAGAAAGCCTGATTTGATGACATTATTGGGAGATGGTGGAAAAATAGGAGGCCTAGTTGGAGGAAGTAGGTCACTGAGGGTGTGCCCCAGAGGGTGTATCCTGTCCCAGTGCCTTCCTCCATTTCTGCCTCCTGTCTGCCATGAGGTGAGTGGCTTTCCTCCACCACACCTTTCCACCAGGTCGCTCTGCTTCACCATGGGCCCAGAAGCAAAGGAGCCAAGTGACCATGGACCGAGAGCTCTGAAACTCGAGCCAAAACTTTTCCCCTTTTAAAGTTGTTTTGCTCAGGAACTGTCACAGTGACGGCAAAGCTGACTAACTCAAAAGAGTTTATTTATTAATTTTTGGTGGTATGGGGTTTGAACTCAGGGCCTTCAGCTTACTTACTCGACAGACACTCTAGCACTTGAGCCATGCCCTCAACTCCCCAGGAGGTTTTTTTAAAAATTATTATAAATTTTTATTAGGACATATTCATTACACAGGGGGGTGATTTGTAGTGACAGTTCTGATTAGACTTATATTGTACATTATTTACATTGCCCCCCACCAAAGGTTTTAAATGGGGAAACCATGGTCTGATCTGTGTCACAGGAAGCTCACGCTGGCTACTGCATGGACAGGTGGAGAGAGACAGCAGGCTCAGGTTACACAGTCCAGGGAGGAGACTCACTGCTGGGGCAGTGATTGATTAGAACCCAGCCACCATCAGCCACCTACAGCGGTGCTCTCTGTGCCTCAGTTTCCTCATTTGTAAAAGGATTTTTTTTTTGGTAGGACTGGGATTTGAATTCAGAGCTTCACACTTGCAAAGCAGGAGCTCCACTGCTTGAGCCATGCCTCCAGTCCATTTTGCTCTGGTTATTTTGGAGATGGGGGTCTAATAAATGATTTGCCCAGGGTTGGCCTCAGACCTCAATCCTCCCTATCTCAACCTCCTAAATAGCTAGGAATACAGGCGCGAGCCACCAGTGCCTGGCTGTAAAAGGAAATTATTAGTGCCTACCCGACACAGGACTGCTAAGGATTGAGAGGGACATGCTCAGCCCGGCACCAGGTACATACAGAGTCCTATAACGCTATTACAGCTGTCATTTTCATGATCAGTGATCCTGGAAGGGCGGCGAGTTGTCTGTTTCTCCTGTGGGTGTACCAGACCAGGAGATGACCTATTTTCTTCCATTTTTAGCAGCATCCTACAGATGAGAAAACAGCACCCCCTCACCCCACCTCCATCAAATGATTCATTGGACAGGACAAGCCAGCTGCGTGGACTTCTCCTGCTTTTTCTGCAGCCATGCAGGAGACAGGGACAGTAGAAGGCGAGGAGCGTGGGAAGGTGGCTATGGGTCTTGGTCGTCTGTGGGAGGAACGTCCTCTGGGTGCTTTGGGTCAGTTCTCCCCTGCCTGTGAATAGCTAGCCAGACTCGGGGACTTACACATTCCTGAGTTTTCTGTTAATGCCCTACCCTGCCTTCCTATGGGGACTCTTGGGCCCCCTTCTCACTCTACTGCCAGGACCTCTTGCCACTCCTGCAGTGGAGTCAAGAGCCCCTCAGGTAGATGTGGGTATGCTCTGTGTAAGTATGCTCTGTGAGGCTCTCCTGGGGACCCACCCAGACTCCAATCCCCTCCCCTCCAGCAGCAGCCTCCACATCAGACTGCTACATTCCTCCCCCCTCAGATGAAGTGCAATGTCCTGATGGGGGCGGCCAAGGCCCTGACATGGGCCAGGAATTGGAGGAAGGGCTCCACTTGCAAGCCCAGCTGCCAGACCATCAGCAGCATCCTGCTTCCTATGCCTGCTACATCCTCTGGGGCTGGCCTGGGGGCAGCAGGGTGCTAGAGGGTGAAGAGCCAGGCCCAGACCCCACTCTCAGCTCCCACACCTCCTCCTGGATGGTTTTGACCCCACTGAGCCTCAATTTCCTACTCTAAAATGGGAAGAGTAAGAGTTTTCCTTTTTTTGTAGCCCTGGGGTTTGAACTCAGGGCTGTGCCAGGCAGGTACTCTACCACTTGAGCCACGCCCTTGCCCTTTTTTGCTTTAGGTAATTTTCCAATAGAGTTTTGCACTTATGCCCAGGTTGGCCGGGGCTGCAATCCTCCTATTTACACCTCCTGCATAGCTGAGATGACAGGCATGTGCTGCCAGGTCCCGTTTTTGTTGGTTGAAATGGGGTCTTGGGAACTTTTTGCTGGATTGGCCTTAAACTTCGATCCTCCTGATCTCTGCCTCCTGAGTAGCTAGGATTACAGATGTGAGGCACTGCACCTGGCTGTAACAGTCCCTTCTTCCTGAGCTGTGGGGATTCTGCAAACAGTCAATGTATGTAGAGTACTAGACATGGATTTAACTGCTCTCTAAGTTGCACGTACTATGAAAATTGCTGCTGCAAAATTTCCCTCACTTTTGCTCATCATTTTCTATCTACCTCTTTGCTCTCACTACAGCCCTGTCTTGGAGAGGAGGAAGCTGAGCATCAGAGAAGGCTGGGGGCTTGCTCAAGGTCACACAGCACAGCCTGATTAAAAAATTTGGTTTATATGGTATCCCTCCCATGAACACCCACAGACAATTAGCAAGGGCTTCTCTCCCTGCAACTGAGCTGGGGTAGGTGGGTCTGCAGACCTTTCCCCCTTGGCATGAAGGGGATTCCCTGTCAAGCAGGGAAGCCCCTGCCTCAGCCCCCATCTCTCTCTGCGGTTCCCTCACCACCCACTGCCACCAAAGCCTCCAGAAGTGTGGCTGGTGGTGGTTTGCCATTAAAAAAGGTCCCTGGATGTTTTCAAGGAAATCTCACCATGAGATGGACAGAGGGTGGACTTTCTGAAGCTTTTCTGAAGAAAGGTGGATAAATCTGGCCAGCGTGGGGGAGGGGCACGAGTTGTGAGATGTGCTAGCAATGGTGGGACCGGCTCAAAATGGTGTCCCGCTTAGGTAGAGGCTGCCCTCTTCTCACACGGCCAGTCCAGCTTTACCATGACACCTTGTGAGGGGACATCACTGACAGTTGGACACCTCCCTCTGAATGCCCAAAGGCACTCCAAACTCAATCCATCGATACTCTTCATGCTGGGTCCAGCATCTTCTCCCAAATCTGTGTCCACCTACTTTCCTGCCCAACCTGGATCTCTGAGAATCCTTTGTACCCTGGACAACCTGTCAGACATCATGTCTCTCACCCCAAATATCTCCTACTTCTGTCTCCTGCTGTCTACTCCAAAGCCACAGTAGCTTCTTCTCCGCTGGATTAGTCTTCCAAAATCTCCTCTTTGATGATCTATGTTATTCTCTTGCTCCACAAACCTCCATAGCTCCCTATCGCCTCCACGAGTTCTAACATGCTTCAGAATTACCTGGGGTGTGGATACCTAGGCCCTACTTGCCACCCCATGATTCAGACTCTCAGGCTCCCCAGGCCACTTGGATGGGCATTAAAGGCAGAGAATCCTACCACTCTGGGAGTTTCAGAAGTCTCACGCTCCCTTGGTGGAGGCTATCCGAGCAGCTCCAGTCTGATTCTTGAGTGTCAGACTGTCTGATGGGGGAGGGGTACGCTACAGCCTCACAGTGTTGGCAGGAAGGTTGTGTAAGATTCTGAATGTAAGTGTGGGGCACTGGGTGTGGCACACAGGGTGCTTCTTGGGGCTTTGTGCTGGTGTCCAAGCCAAAGCCAGCACTGGGGGAAGACCTTCCAGCAGAGAGCTGGTGGGGCCTGGCCTGGCCTCGGGGTCTGTGGATTACAGGACTCTCCCTGCTCAGGAGCCTGCTTCCAATTACACCCACAGGCGGAAACTCAGGAGCAGGCACAAAGCAACACCTAAACCCTTGGGACCAGCTTGCCTGGAACATCTGACCCAGCCAGGGACACAACAGCTGTCCAGCCCCTCCTGGTCCCCTGCTCTGGCTCTTACAGGCCTCTGCCTTCCCATCCCTGGATGCATGCAGGAAGTGAGGTGCCAGTAGCTCTTTCACAGAGGGGAAAACTAAGGTAGCCATATTCCAAGCGGGTTCTCAGGGGTGGCTGTTGCCACGCCTGCATGTCAGGGGAGTACCTGTCTGTCTGTCCATCCCAACCTACACCCCGGGCAGCCCTTGAGAAATACCAGGGCAACTGTGAGCTCCCCCTCCTACCCGTGGGCCAAACACTTCCTTAGATGGAAACTCCAAATCCTGTTTCAGAGAGTGCTTACTTGCCATAAACACCAACTTAAAACAGCAAGAAGCTGGCCTCAGAGAGACTAACACAGGGCTACGGGGAGTCCTGGGGTGAGCTGCCCCCATTCCCCTGAGTTAGTGGGCAGAGGGGTAGCCAAGTCAGCCAGGAGAAGGGGCCAACTTAATCCTTTAGGACGTAGATCCACATCAAGCTCCAAGCTGGCCCTCTAACCTCTCCCCCAAAAAAACAGCTTGGAGGGGAAGAAGGGGTTGTTGCTGGGAGGGAGCAAGTGATAATGAAAACAGCTCTCACTGCAGAGCCAGCAGGAGTCTGGCTGGGCTAAGGAATGCAGAGTAAATTCACCCATCACTTGATTTTTATTTTTCCCAGCTGGCTGGAGTGGTGCAGGGGTGGGAGGTGTCTGGGGGAGGGCTGTGCTGAGTCCCTCAGCTGCTTCATCCTCCCCACCCCACCAGCCCCAGCTTGCCCTGGGACAACTAAATACACATCCCCCCAACCTAGCAAGTGTTTGGCTGACTCACTACATAAACAGGGTGTTGGGTTTTCTTTGTCTTTGCTTTGTTTTGGATGTGAGCCCTCCTCACAGCTCAGAGGATGCAAGGACACCAAATATCCCCTCCAGCCACAGAAGAAAGGCAAGAGGTGACAGAACCATCTGGGATTTTGTGCTCACTTGCTCTCCTACCTGAGACAGATCAGGGATTCCTTGAGGGCCCCCTGTGGAAGGGAAGTTGAGGGGACATTGTTTTTCAGATGGGAGAACTGAAGCCCAGAGACAGGCAGTGATTTGGTCAAGATCACACAGCAAAAGAATAGCTTTTGCACTTCACGTGACCACAGGCAGGGCAGACTCACCTTCCACCAGGAAAAAGGCAGGAGGAATATTAAAGAGAGTTTACTGTTAGACAGGTGTGGGTGGCTTATGCCTCTAATCCTAGCTACTTAGGAGGCAGAGATCAGGAGGATTGCAGTTCGAAGCCAGCCAGGGCAAATACTTTGCAAGACCCTATCTTGAAAATACCCAGCACAAAACTAGGCTGGTGGAGTGGCTCAAGTAGCAGAGCGCCTGTTCAGCAAGCATGAGATGCTGAGTTTAAACCCCAGTACCAACAGAAAAAAAAGGGGGGTGGGTAGGGAGAGGGTTGTTTTCACTCTCTGTGAGCAGGGCTCTAGCTAGGATTCTCCTGTCCGCCATTCTTCTCCATCCCCAACTTTATCTGGTCATTTCCAGAACACCTTTAAGGGGTCCCTACTATGACTGACTCCAATTGCTTACTCCCTCTGCACTTGTGGTGTATCTGTGATGAGAATGTATAGTCACAGTGTCACTTATTGGGCACCTAGTAGGTACCAGCTGGTGCTAAGCATTATCTCACTGAAATCTAGGGATCAGCTGCAGGGGTGGGTACCATTATTTTTCTCATGTTTACAGGTGAAGAAATGGAGACTCAGAGGTGGTAAAGGCACTGGCTGAGAGGTGGATATGGGATTTGAACTCAGGTCTGCTTGACACCAGAGGAGCTCTTCTTAGCCAGAGTCACTTCTGGAGACTTCGAGTCCTCCAGGGAGTGCATCCGATCACTGAACAAAGATATCAGAGGGCAGGAGAACGCCTAGTCCACATAGGTTCATTGGGTCCCTAACCCTAACCCTGAAAGCCTTGGCCCAAGGCCTTTTGCAAAACTGGGAGTTGTTGGGCAACAGCTGCCCAGGAATCTGCTCCCAAGTGATCAGCTTCCCGCGGAAACTCAGGTCCCTGTTCCCTCCTTGGTCCTGGGTTGCATGCCAATCTCCTCCGTGCATAGGACTGGGTCCCGGGGCCCCTTCTTCAGCCTCGGAGTCCCAAGCTGCCTCTCATCTCCACGGTCCCGGCCCCCTCGGCTTGAGGGCTAAGCCCCAGGTGGGCTCTTTCCTCTCCCCGCCCAGTGCACACCCTCCCGGGCCCGCACCCCCGCCACAGCGCCCCCTCGCGCCGGCTCCCGCGGAACCGCGCCAGGTTGGGGGGGGCGCGCCTACCTTGCCGTCGGCGCGCGCGAGGCCGGTCTGCACCAGTAGTAGCAGCGATGGCAACAGAAGCAGGGCCAGTGGCCAGGGCCGGGTCAGAAAGGCGGTCACTGCCATGGCGCGACGGGCACAGTGGGCACAGACGGCCGGACGCGGTCGCTGGGAAGCGCAGGTCGCACTGCGAGCTCCCGGCCGCTACCGGCTCTGTTGCCTGCGCGCCCCCCGCCTGCCCGTGCCCCCTCGGGCGCCGCTGGGGGCGGAGCCAGGGTGGAGGGGTGCCCGCCCCGCCCCGCCCCACCCACCTCCCGGCTGTTGCGCAGCTCTGCCAAGCAGTCCTCGCAGGGACTTCAGGGTCTTGTTCTGAGCCCGCAGCAACGTCCTGGTCTGTGACATGAAAGACCTTGGGCGTGTCCCTTCGTCTCTTTGAGCTTCAGTTTCTCCATCTGTACAATGGAGAAAATAGCCCTTTTGGAGTGGTAAAATTCAAAAGTACACAACCGTTGAGTCCTTGCGCTCTCTCAAGCCATCCCTTCTTCTCAGGGACCCTGACAGCTCTAGCATCAAGGTTCAGCCCCCCTTTCCCCCCCCCCGCATCTTCTATTTCTCCCTCCCTGGCTGACCACAACCAAACTCAACGACTTTTTTGTTGCTGGTGTTGGGACTGCATTTGAACTAAGGGCTTCCCGCTTGTAAAGCAGGCACTCACTCTACCGCTTGAGCCACACCTCCAGTCCGTTTTGCTCTGGTTATTTTTGGAGATGGGATCTCGAGAACTATTCGCCTGCGCTCAGCCTTCCAAGTACCTAGGATTACCGTCGTGAGCCACCCGTGCCCGGAATAACTACCTTTTTAAATCCCTCCACTTAACTCCCACCCCGGTCCACATCTGAGCGCCTGATATCTTTGCTCCCCAGGCAGCGTCCGTCAGTCCGCGATTACCCTCCTCTCAGACTCTCTGCCCATTCTCCTGGGGGTCTTCAGCCTCACAGATCACCAAAATGTCTTGTTGCCGTCCTCAAGACCACTGTAACCAAATCCAAGAAGGCACCTCTCTACCCTTCCTAAGTGGAAGTCTCTTTGCTCCTTTCCCTCTGGTTTTCCCTGGGGGCTCCTTCTCAGTCTCTCTTGCAGCCCCTTCCTCCTCTGAGCATTCCTGGGACCTGAGTTCCCTTCTCATCCCTCTCCATTATGTCACTGTAGGTGACCCCTCTCCTAAGCCCAAATCCACTTGTAAATGCGTACCTGGCTTTGTAAACTTCAACTTGTGTCCTAAATGTTGTCACCTTAGCCTTACCTCTTATCAGACACTCCTCCCCAGGAACTGTTGCCTGCTCTACACACACACACACACACACACACACGTGTTCATTTTCTCATAGAATTTACCGTGTTGTGGAACTGTCTTTCTGGCTGGTACTGGTCCTTCGTGGAGGGAAATAGGTCAGTGGTGCACACACGATTGTCTCTCCCTGTGAGTAGCTGGCTCAGTGGTTCTTAAAGTATGGTACCCTGGCCAGCAGCTTCAGCAGCTCCTGGGAACGGCATGGCTGATCCTCAGGTCCCATCCCAGACCTAATGAAGCAGAAATTCTCTGGGGATGGGGTGGGGCCCAGCAAACCCTCAGGATTTAGAGTTTGAGAACCGCCCACCTAGCACAAGATCTGGGTCTGAATTAAAAAGTCATGTGTGAAGTAGGTGTTCAGTACAAACACGCTTCTTTCTAGCTGGAGATCCTCTGGAGAGGGGTCCAGAGGAGGCGTAGTGTAAAAACTAAATATTGTGTGTGTTCTTAGGTACGCAGATTATCTCTGGAAAGACACTCAGTGCATCAACAGGGTGAATAGCTCCAAGGAGAGGATCTGTAGTCAGGAATTGGAGCAGAGAAAATCTTCATTGAATACTTTCTGACATTCTGTGGGTTTTGCCATATGTCTCCTATCTATTCAAATTATAGACAAAGTGTACTTAAAACAAATGCAACCAGGCAAGGGTTCCTTTCTCCAGCTCTTTCTCCTAGATGCAGCCTGGCTCCCATGGACTCTCTAAGCATGTCCTGGAAGGCAAGTCTGCCCCCTGCTGGCTGCTATCCCAACCCCAGGGATAGACTCCTCCCAGCCAGAGATAATCCTTTGCTAGGATGTGACAAGTCCTGACTTGGTCTTGGGGCCTTTGCACTGCTGTTTCTTCCACTTATTTCTCTCCACCTAGACTCACTCACTCCTATGTGACCCTCCATCTTTAGTGGTCTGTACCCCAGAAAGCTTTCCCTGACTCCCACGCCAACTGTATCAACCTCTGTCACACACTTTCACCATGCTGGGGATGTCTGAGAGTGTTCTCAGATGTAGCACTTCTGTGAGATTATGGGTTTATGTGATTATTTGATTCGATTAGTGTCTGTCTCCAACAGATAAGGGCCCTATGATGAGGCTCATACCTGCCTTGGTCTTAGCTGTAGCCCCATCTGGTCCTGTTTGTCTGTCTCTCTGTCTGCCTCTGACCTCAGGACTACTCTCCTTGACTTTCCTTTCCAGTTCTTTTGTCTTGAGTCCTGCAGGTCCTGGGAGATTCTTTTTTTTTTTTTTTTTATCTCTCTCCCTCTTTCTTTTGAGGCAGGATCTCCCTATAGAACCCAGGCTGGCCTTAAACTCAGGATCTTCCTGCCTCAGCTTCCCAAGTGTTGGGATTACAGGTGTGTACCTCCATACTTAGCCTTTCATCTGTCTTTCTGAGACTGTCTCCTTCTTATAATCTGGGGGGAAGTACTGACTTCTCAAGATTGTGGGATTTTGAAAAGGTCCTGTCATGCTGGACACATAACTGGATTCCTGCCTCAAAGGGCCCCACGCACAGAACAGTGGCTAGAATCTGCTACATTCACTTATTCCCCTTGCTTTTCTCAGTGCTGTGGTACTTGACTCTTCCCAGAAACCTTTTCAGAAGAGAGGAATGTGGGGTGTGGGACTACTCTGAGTAACATCAGTAACAGGTTCCATCTACTAACCCAGGCCTTATAGTAATTGTTTCGTATGCACCATCTCATTTAATTTTCACAACATTCTTACAAGGTAGCAACTATTATTCTTGTTCCTCCTCCTTTAGAAACTTGGACACCTATGCTCAGAAGTAAACACCAAAGGTAGGTCACACAGTTATTAAGTAGAAAAGTCAGGTCTGTTTTGGTTCTGTCTTTCTATTTGAAATTTAGTGTGTGTCTACCGTGCAGGCCCAGGGGTCAGCAGTTGAGGTTATAGCAGTGAGTGAGATGAAAAGGATTTGTACAGTCAGGGGATCTGGGGAGGATTTTGGGAGGCAGATTCACAGAGCTGAAGGATGAGGAGTTTTCTGGAAGCTGAGTGTTTGGCTTGACTCCTCTGCCCACCATTGGGATGACTTACAATCTTCACCCACCACTCAAAACCCAGGATCACTTAGTTCTACCTTTAGAGACCTGACAGGGAAATTCCAACCCAAGGAAGACCATCTGCTCCTGACATATTTTAGAACCCAGAACTGAGAGAACAGTCCAGAGGGCTCCCCTCTCCCATTACAGGGGTAGAGCACTGCACAGCTCCCTGCCCTTGGGAACAGCTCAGAAAAGGTAGTGAAGTAACCACTGAGAGGCCATTTCTTAACTGTTCAGCTCAGTACGGCCATGTGTGAACACAAAGGGGACCTAGTTGTTCCCTCGCAGGTTTTTAGGAAGGTGCCACAGAAGAAGTATTTGAAGAGGATCTAGAAAGACGAATAAAGTGGAGTGGCTGACAGCATTCCAGCTTTTTTTTTTTTTTTCCGACACTAGGGTTTGAACTCAGGACCTCATACTTGCTTAGGCAGGTGCTCTTACCGCTTGAACCACTTCAACAGCCCGGCATTCCAGCTTTCTGACCAACTGGGACCAAATCGCCACCACGCCGTCATTTCATCAGCGCGTGATAGGGACAATATCGGTGCTATCTTATTGAGCAGGTGTGAAGTTTAAACAACAAAGCACTAGTGTAAATCTCTCGGAGTCAGCATAGATTAAGAATGAAACAGTTTAACCAATGTTGGTAAGAACAGCTACCCAAAAGTGAGAGAAAACGTTGCAAAACCTTCTGCGCAGCAGGTGACGGAAGGGGCGTGATGAGCAATGTGAGCAGGGGTCAGACCCGTTCAGGATGAAGACTTTAAGTAAGGGATGACACAGCGGAGCCAAAGGATTGACGGGGCGGGGGAGGGGAAAGCAGAGAACGAGCGGCCAGTGAGGAAGCTTCCGCAAAACCCAGCAGAGAGGCGGGAGAAGCACCAGTGTTCCTGTTCTTTGTCTTCAAGCAGGCCAGGTAGGCCTTAGCTCCTGGGCCGTAGCCGCGAAAGATTCCTTTTCTGAGGGGGTCACCGAAGACCGACACCCCAGCAGGTCCAGAGGCCGGTGGCCGTGCGCCATCTAGTGGCCACAGGTAGTGGGTTCGGCTGGGGGCATCGGAGAAAATCCAGAAATTTGTTCCCAGAAAACTTCGGGAAACTGAGGTGGGGTGGAGGGAGGAAGGGGAGCAGTTTGGGATCTCTCATCTGAACCCAGTCCCTAGTCTAATCTCATTTTACAGATTAGAAAAGTGAGCAGGGGGAAAGAACTGCTCGAATAAGGGGCTACTCTTAAACAGAAGGTTTCAGGACACCTGGAGTCAAAAGCCTGAAGCTTTCTTTGAAGGCATCAATGGCCTGGATCTTAGTTTGCCCATCTGTTCTATGGGCAGGGGGAAAATGAAAGAGGGGGAAAAGAAGCTTTAGTCTTTCCCGCCCAGCCGGAGGTAAAAGGCTTTAAACACTTCCCCGGAAAGCAGAGCTGTAGAGATCCATTTGCATACGAACGCAGTCACCTCGAGTTAAACTCCGGTCCTTTAATCTCCGGTCCAATTTGCCCCGCAGCTGGGAAGGAAGGCCCTGGTGAATACCTACAAACCCCGCCTCTTGGGGCCCCGCCCACAGGGCTGGGCTTTTTTGCACGTGCTCACCGGGCTCCTCGTTCCGCCTCCTTGGAAAGACTCATTGTTGGCGCGAGGGGGGGCGATTATAGGAGTCGTAGGGAAGTCTGACCTTGCTAAGTCACGATAGAGAGAAGATCTTGAAGTAACCGTTTATTAAACGTTTGCCACAAGTTTTGTCAGGATCATTGATATCGATAGGCCTTGGCTTTCCCTTCTTAGTGCTACTGTCCTTCCTAGCACCCCTTCAAGTTGGTGGAGTC